GAGAGCGAGAGCGAGAGCGCGAGAGCCTGCTTCTGAATCCACGAAGTCATCGTCCCCTTGTTGGTCGTCTGCTTGGCCCCTGCGGCGACAGCCTGACACTTGCCGGACCAACTGTATGGGGGGCCAGTCACCACGAGGGCGCATAGTGCATCACCACGCCAGAGGAAAAGCCCCCAAATGCAGCCGTGTGGCACTTGCTGCAACACCATCGCCTTCGCGCAGCAGGCAAATGCAACTTGTCAAATGCAAAATTCATACATGTTTTCCGACTTTGCTTGTTTGGCATTCCCTTGTTGAACTGCACAGCTCATGTTTGTGCGCACTGGTAGGTTTATATCCAAGTTGACAGGCCCAACCCAACTCCGCACGCTTACGCACTTACACTTCATATGTTGATCTGCCAGCCCTACTAGAGATTCCCCCAGAGGAGGTCAGTCAGAGTCTACAGCCTACTTTCTCGGTAAGCCGTGCCGTGACGTGGGCGCTGCAGTAAGGGGTTCCAAAACGTGCTGAGGCCAGCACCGCTGAAGCCTCTCGCCAGATTGCCCAGAGCGGGCGGAAGCATCACCACGCGACGAGGCATCACCTCTCGATGAGGCATCACCTCTCGCAGATGCTTCGCCGCCACGGGCAGAAGCTGCTCCTTTACCTCAGACTCAGGGGTGCTGATCGTGGGGCTGGGATAGTTGCTAGTTGCCGTACCGACATAGCACCGCGACGAGGAAGAAAGCACAACACAGTCTACATCTACATTCTAAATCAGTCTACATTGACACGTGAAGGACTCGAATGTGCTCATGTTCCAGCAATACTACCACCAGGAGCAGATTGCTTGGGGGCGACGATACAAGTTGGACTGAATATGCCGCCAATATCCGCCTTGCAAAGCCTCTAATTCAGACTAAAGCAGGCATACAAACGCTCGCGGTTGCAATTCGAAAACATGAAGAATGAAGAATGCTTCGTTAGCACGTCGGTCATGCATCATACGTGCTCATATCGGACATCTTCTTCGGGGGAGTTGTTCAGCAAGAAAGGGACAAGACGAAGAGGTTTCGTCTAGTTTCGGGTTGTAAAATGCTTAGTGCTTGAGGGGGGGTCATGGAGGAGGGGTGGGGGGCTCCAGGGGGAGGAGATGTGGGGGGTTGTTTCGAACCGAACTTGGGCCTCCAAGGGCCCGGGGGAGTGCTGTATGTTTGACTATTGACATCCTCGCTGCTTTTGCGCGTCGTGCGTCTGCCTAGAATTTCGGAAATTTCGGAGTTGCACCCCAGTGTCCACAAAGGGAGGGATCTGCCCCTACCCACAAACTTCCGAAACCCCGAGCCCAGAAACCCTGAACCCTAAGCCCGGAACCCTGAACCCGCAACCTGGAACCCGGAAACCCAAAGACAGAAACCATAAAACTCTAACTCGCCCGAAACCCTTAACCCAGAAACCAAGAAACCCTAAACCCCAACCCCAGAAATGCGAAACCCGGAAACCCCAAACCCAGAAACCCTGCACGCCTAAGCCGAGAAATCCTGACCCAGAAATACCCAGAACCATCAACCCACAAACCCTAAACTGCGAAACCCAGAAACCCTAAACCCCGAAAGCCCAAACCCAGAAAACCTAAACCCCAACACCCCCAACCCGCAAACCCTTTTGCATCCAGGTCTCTGACGTTAGTCGGGCTAACAGCTCATAAACCCTGAGCCTGGAAACCCAAAGCCCAGAAACCCTAAACCCAGAAAACCTTTTGCATCCAGGTTTCTGATACTAGTCGGGTTAACAGCTCATAAACCCTGAGCCTGGAAGCCCTAAGCCCAGAAACCCGAAACCCAGAAGCCCTAAACCCGGACACCCTTTTGCATCCAGAATCCAGGTCTCTGTCGCTAGTCGGGTTAGCAGCTCATAAACCCTGAGCCTGGAAACCTTAAGCCCAGAAACCCGAAACCCAGAAGC